TCTTTGGGATCCCAGCAAAAAAGGATGCCATGTACAGTGTACTGCAGCCAAACATGAGCGAGCACCACAACTTAAGTGTGTAAACTCTGGTTGCTGGGGAAACAACCATAAGAGGAGGGAAGGAAAGAGGCATAGGGCAGAAGATATATGAATATCCAAAAGTTACATGAAAAGATGCTTAATGTCACAAAGCACAAAGAAAATGCAAATCAAAAGCAGAGTGAGATATCATTTCACATGTATGGGAATGACTTATATGAAAAAGGCAAGAGACAAGTGTTGGTGAGGAAGTGGATCAAGGGAATCTTGCATCAATTGGTGGGAATATAAACTGGTACAGTCATTCTGAAAACCAATTTCATTGTGACCTGGTCCCTCAACAGTTGCTTTGATGCATGTCTGTGCTACTAATCTCAGGAAAGATTTTTGATGAAGGTTTGGTCTATGTACTATCTTCTTTGTATAGGCTTTTCAAAGGAGGATAAGATCTATTTATGCTATTTTACTGTACCACTGTTTCACTGTCATCCCGTTGTTCATCAATTTCATCAAGTTCATCACTCGAGCAGGTGTCAGTAACGTCTTCATTTGTCCCAGCCCTAAGATTTTAGCAGCCTCTCCTTACTTGTCTTTCCCAATGCTGCCATATTGGAGGCTCTTTCAAGGTCAAGCGAATGAAACCCGTTATTGTTACTGTTTTTGGCATATTGAATACACCACGGGTAGCTTGCTAGGCTCTGTCGACCAGGCGGGATACACTCGGTAGCTTGCCGGGCTCTCCGAGAAGGACGGAGAATGTATATAAGAGAATTCAAGCGTGTTAAAACCAAACACATGTGTGCTGCTTTAGGTATATCAGTGGGTTAGACTATAAGAGGTCGTGCAGCCACAAATGCTGCTGCGTGCTTCCAGGAGCTTTGTTTTATAGTCTCTGGATCTTGGTTGTTGATAGGATTACATGGCGCTGGGGGCAGTTTGTGAGTGTGACTGCCAAGCTACTGGAAAATGGGGGATCTGGGTGGAGGAGGCCCAGTCTCAATCCGAGCAACCTTGGAGATCTCAGCCCTGGGTCTTGCATACCTGGGTTCCTCTGCCTGGTTCCTTCATGCGTGAGGCTCATCCGAGCATGTGGAGAGTGGCCTTGAGCATGGCTGTGGCTAGGTTCTGGAGGTTTTCAGCTGCCAGGGTTCTGCTTGGGGTGGGGAGGGAAACTCAATCCGTACCCCCTCCAAGAGGCCCTGGTGAAGACAGCCTGGTGCAGGGGCAGGAGATTCTTTATGCTATTTAGGCAGAGAAAATGATGACACTATCTCCAAAAGATAGAGGCACCCATGTTCATGATGACATTATTAACAGTAGCCAAGGTATGGGATCAGCCTAAGTGCTCACTGATGGATGATGGGACCCAAAATCCCAGTGTCTGTATATAATGAAATATTATCCAGTTACAAAACCCCGGGAAATCCAGCCATTGTGACAGCATGCATGGACCTCCTAGGCATTATGTTAAGTGAAGTAAGTCTGACAAAGAGACAAGCACTCTATATCACTTATATGTGGAACTTTTTTTTTTTAATAATTTATTTCTTTATTGAAACACTGTGGGAAAAGTTACAGAGCTTTAGGGTTTAGGTCTCAGTCATGTAAGTATCAAACACATTTCCCTTTACCAATACTTATTTTTAACCGCGAACTCCAATAGAACCCCACCTCCCACCCCTCCCAATTCCTGTGAGGCAGATGAGTTCTAGTTAATACTCTATCTACTTTGACTAGATACATTGTTTCGATAGAAGATGCACAATTATTGTTTAGAGTTTACGACCCCCCCCAATCAGATATGCTGAAACAGCGTTGTGAAATGATTTGCTTTCTACAGCTGGGTTTAAGAATAAAATGATGTCGCGCGGCCGCTATTGCGGCCGCGTGGTTTTGGATTTCTGCTATTTTACTTATTAACCCTGGAAGTATTTCTATTAAAAGTTAGATAGTTAAGAGATTGGTTTCTGTGCTCTGGAGTCGTGGCCGTGCCAGAGAGCCGCTCGTGGGGGGCAGCTGGTGACCTCGGTCGGGTGTGAAGGACGGCCCAGAACGCGCCCCTTCCCATGAGGCCCCTGCCGCCCCCCACCCCCGGCTCAAACCTGCTGTCCACAAGGCTCCCGTGCGGCCGCCATCTTTCTTTCCAGAGAGGATTGGGCGAATGGAGCAACACCCTTTCCCCTCCGGGCAGGCATGCTGGCGCGGTTTAACACATAGTCCATTTGCTTTTCTGCTCCAAGCGGGTGGCTTTCTGTGCTAAGTCCTTGTGCTTCCGGGGCCGTGGCCGTGCCGGAGAGCCGCTCGTGGGGGGCAGCTGGTGACCTCGGTAGGGCGTGAAGGATGGCCCAGAACACCCCCCTTCCCATGAAGCCCCTGCCGCCCCCCACCCCCAGCTCAAACCTGCTGTCCACAAGGCTCCCGTACGGCTGCCATCTTTCTTTCCAGAGAGGATTTGGAACTCTTTTTTTTTTTTTTAAAAAAAAGGAAATAAAAAAAGTAAAACAAACTCAGGGAGGACAAGAATGTGGCCTAGCCCCTAGAGCACTTGCCTTGCTTGTGTGAGGTCCCTGGCACCACAAACAAACAAAACAACAGAAAAAAAAATATTATAAAACAATAACAAAAAGTAGTAGAAAAAAAAGGTCAATTTTGTGACTGAGAGGTAGGCATGGAGTAGATGCCAGTCATTTGGATATTCATCAAATTGTCAAAAGGCACAGATTTCTAGGTAGTAGGATGAATAAGTATTGGGGGATGCAATGAACAATATGATGACTATAGTTGACATTGTCCCATGGAAAATTCCAAAACTGCAAAGAGAGTAGATCCCTGAAGATAGCACTTGAGTCCTTTGCCTGCAGTAGCCAATGCTCTGTCCTGAGAGATAGTGTCAGATTTCACAAAAAGCCTGACTACAGGTTATCCAGCCAGCAAGGCAGAATGGGTAGTCAGTGACCAAATACACTGGAACTGAGAACACAGAATCACTCACCTGGCCCAGAGATATGGCTCAGATTAGGCCTTGACTGCCTGAGGCCTGAGTTCAATCCCTGGTACTGACCCTTATTGCTGAGTATGGCCCCTGGTGCCACAGGTGTGGGCCCCACACCTAGATACCCCCAATAAGAAAAACAACATTAAAAAAATCTGTAAAGTAAGCAGATCTCATATTAAGTATTCTTATAATAATCAGTCACTGTCACGTACTCCCGTTGTTCATTGATTTGCTCGAGTGGGCCCAGTAACATCTCCATTGTGACACTTGTTACTGTGTTTGGTATATCGAATATGACATGGGTAACTTGCCAGGCTTTGCCATTTGGGTGAGATACTCTCAGTAGGCTCTCCGTGAGGGGCAGAGGAATTGAACCTGGGTTGGTCGGGTCGACCGCATGCAAGGCAAATGCCTTACCTGCGGGTCGACTGGGCCGACCTGAGTTCAATTCCTTTGCCCCTTTCGGAGAGCCCGGCAAGCTACCAGAGAGAATCTTGTTCACACGGCAAAGCCTGGCAAGCTACCTGTGACTTATTCGATATACTAAAGACTATGCCAAACACAGAAACAACAAATCTCACAATGTTACTGGGCCTGCTCGAGCAATTCGATGAACAATGGGAGGACAGTGACAGTGACAGTGACTTATAATAATAAAACAAAGTAATTCAGAGAACTGAAGTAATAGTGCAATGGGTAGGCCTTGCATGCTGCCAATTTGGATTTGATACCTGGCACCCCATATGGTCCCCTGAGCCCATCAGGAATGATCCCTGAGCACAGAGGCAGGAGTAAGTTCAAAACACTCCTTTGTGTGGCCAAAAACTGGAAAAAAAAAAGGCTAATAAAATAATTCAGAGAAGAAAGGGCTGCTAATATCTTACTTCTCAATGTTTCTACAAAAGCAAGCTTCTTTTCCCAAACATAACCAATTTGACTGTTGAAAACATATTTTTTTTCCACACTAAAAATAGACACAGAAATCACTGGGTACTTTGCTAGGAAGGCTGACCCACAAAAATGTCCCATCCACTTCTACAACATTAGGTATATTTCAGTGGTTGACTTGCCCAGGCACAAAAGCAGATGTCAATAGTTTACTCTTAACAATTCATAATTCTCCATTTCTGTCACAGTGTGTTCCCATTGATTACACACAGGCATAAAAATAGAAAACTCAGAGTTGGTGCTTTTGCCAGTCGTTCAGATGACTTTCAGAACAAAGAAGTTTTCTATGGGTGGATGGGTGTAAAAACTTGGAGACGGTGAAAAGGCAGGAAAAGACTGCAGAATCCGTTTCTCACTGGATTCAAGCCCAGCTTGTCTTGCTTCTATGAAATTCAGTCCAAATTCCAAAAAATTCTGAATACCTACTGTCAGCCTCTTACACAGAGGCCAGATTTCCCAAGCTCCCGGCTGCAGGTAGAGGTGAGGTTTGACAGAGGCTGGCAGACCTCCTCGGCAGCGCTATTTGGGCAGGGAATGGGGCTGGTTCAGACAGCAGACTTATCGATGTGGGGACCAACTCTGTCAGACACAGGGTCAGAAGCACAGTGGAAAGCGGTGCTGGGGGGCACTCCTTGCTGTGCTCAGGAAGCCGTGCAGTGCTAGTGATTTAATCAGGCCTCCCACATGTAAGGCAGGTTCCTTAGCCCATGGAGTTCTCTTTTCTGCTCTGCATGATAACACTTTTATATTGTGCCATGAGCCCTTTGTTTTGTTTATTTGGGGGCTACACCTGGCGATGTTCCGGGCCTGCTCCTGGCTCAATGCTTGTGGTTGCTCTTGCTCCGGGTGTTGCTCAGGGGACCACGTGATGCCAGAGATTAAATCTACCTGAGGTTCCTGTGTGCAAACTATGGGCCCCAGCCTACTGAGCCATCCCCCTGGCCCAAACACTTGATCAAAATGTACACAGAGCAAACTGAGGAATTTTACGTTCAATAAAAAAAAAGTCAATATTTAAGCTGCTCCTAAAGGCATTGCAGATGTGGCTGTGTGTCCATGGCCATGTCCCCAGATGGCAGAGAGAAGGAAGGTAGGCTTGTCCACACCCAATACTCTGACCCAGGAGCTATGATGGTTAGTAGTCTGACCCTTGTGGGGGAAAAAGGGATGTTTTATTTGGGGGGCTGGAACGATAGCACAGCGGGTAGGACTTTTGCCTTGCACTCAGCAGACCCAGGTTCAATTCCCAGCATCCCATATGGTCTCCCGAGCACCGCCAGGAGTAATTCCTGAGTGCAGAGCCAGGAGTAACCCCTGTGCATTGCTGGGTGTGACCCAAAAAGAAAAAAAAATATTTTAATGTGTTAGGAGCGATAGCACAGTGGGTAGGGCGTTTGCCTTGCATGTGGCTGACCCGGGTTCGATTCCTCCATCCCTCTTGGAGAGCCCGGCAAGCTACTGAGAGTTTCCCACCCGCACAGCAAAGCCTGGCAAGCTCCCTGTGGCATATTTGATATGCCAAAAACAGTAACAACAAGTCTCACAATGGAGACATTACTGGTGCCCGCTCGAGCAAATCTATGGACAACAGGAGGACAGTGCTACGGTGCTATAGTGTTAGGAAAAATTAAATGTCACGTAGCAATATCACCTGCCCACACATGGGGAAGCAGATTATCTCATTCAAAAGGCAAACATTATAGGGGCTAAAAAGATAGCACAGCTGGTACAAATAGTACCCAGGTTCAATTCCTGGCACATCGAACAGTCCCCCGAGATCTCAACTCCTGAGTGCAGAGCCAGGAGTAAAGAGCCTGAGCACCACTGATGTGGCCCAAAACCCATTGGGGGAAATGAAAGTAGAAGTTATAGACAGTCTGAGGAGATCATAGTGCTCGCATATCTGACCAGGGTGTCTGCTGGGGTTGCACAGCTGAGCCGCAGTCAGTGCCTACACAGTGCTCACCTGGAGCTGAGTTATTTGGTGATGGCGCTCAGGCACATTCTGGTTAGATACTCACTGGAGCATATAGTTTTCGATTATGGTGTTCACGTGTCATTTATTGTGGAAACCACAAGGGTCTCATATTTTTTTTAGCAGTGATGGCTGGTATATACTTTGGCTATGGGCCAGAGATCACACTTTTTTTTTTTTTTTTTTTGCTTTTTGGGTCACACCCGGCGATTACTCCTGGCTCATGCACTCAGGAATTACTCCTGGCGGCACTCAGGGAACCATATGGGATGCTGGGAATCGAACCTGGGTCGGCCATGTTGGCTGCGTGCAAGACAAACGCCCTATCCGCTGTGCTATCACTCCAGCCCCACACATTCTTTTAAGATATCAGAGGTCCCGACACCAGAGCTATGCTCAGCCAGTGTGGCAGGCACGGAGCTTGATTTCATAGCTGCCTGTCTGCAAACACTTTTTGCCATTGGGTCATACGCTGGACCACCTAATATGCAATGGAAAACTGTTTCAATTTCCGTGTTGATTTTCTATCTTTACTTTTCTTCTTTTTTTTTTTAGGGGGGGAGGTGGGGATGTTGTATTTGTGTGGGGTTTGTTTACAGTTTCAGGAATCGAACCCAGCATCTCACACATTCAAGTCAAGTGCTCCCCTTATATGCTACATCCCAGCCCTCTTTGTTGATTTTCTGTCTGAGTGAACTACCCATTGATGTAAGTGGGTTGTGAAAGTCCCCTACTACCATTTTTTTATATCAATATTTATTTCCCTTTAGGTCTGTGAATATTTTCTTTATATATTTAGGTACTCCTGTGTTGGGTGCATATATATTAAGTATTGTTTTCTTGGCAGGTTAACACCTTTGTCATTATATAATGTCCTAATTTGTCTCTTTTACCTTTTTTAGCTGGAATTCTATTTTATCTGATGTAAGTATAGCTGTTCCTGCTTTTTTAAAGACTATTTTAGGCTACTCTTAACACTTATCACTGAGACACATCATTAGCTGGAAAGAAAAGTATCTCAGACTAAACTGGATAAGCTTGTGACCCCAAACTTTTTCAATGTAATCTGTGCTTTAGGACAACTCTCTCTAACTTTTAATTTAAAATTTACTTAATTTGTTTAGAATTCACTGTGAATCAATGAGTTAAATGTATTTTTATAAATCATGCAATGAAATATTAATTCTAAATGGTCTCTTATTTGATACAATTAAATGTTAATATTTTTATTAAAAACAAAAATATTGAAGTGTATACTGGAGGATTGGACAATTCAATTTTAGCAGTTTATAATTTTTTTAGCTGTTTGTAACTTTTTATTTTTTTTTGGCTTTTTAGGTCACACTCAGTGATGCTCAGGAGTAACTTCTGGCTCTGCACTCAGAAATTACTCCTGGCAGTGTTCAGGGGACCATATGGGATGCAGAGGATTGAACCTGGAACAGCCACATGCAAGGCAAATGCCCTAGCTATGTATTCTTGCTCTGGCCCCCCATTTGTAATTTTTAAAATACTAAATACACACTGGGCTGAGAGACAGTACAGCAGACCCTTCTGTAGCAGACCCTTGCCTTTCATGCAGCTGACCTGGGTTTGATTCCTTACACTGCATATGGAGCACCTCTAGGAGTAAGACCTGAGTACAGTTGGGTGTGGCCCAAACATCAAACAAAAGCACACAGAAGAATTTCTGTGTTGACTATCAGAAGTTGATAAGTTGATGATGATGAGAGAGAAAGGGAGAGAGAGAGAGAGAGAGAGAGAGAGAGAGAGAGAAGAGGGAAGAGAGAGTTTATGTTGTTGCTGAGGATCAAAATCAGGGCCACATACATGTAAATAATGTGCTCTATCACTGAGCTACATTCCTGACTTCTATTTCTGATATCTTGAACACAGTGGGATGAGTTTCGGCGGTGCTCAGAAACTACTCTTAGCTCTGTGCTTGGGGATCACTTCCAGCTGTGCTTGAGGAACCATGTGGTGCCATGGTTTGAATCTGGGCTTCCCACATGCAAATTAAGTGCTCAGCTCCTTGAACTGTCTCTCCTGCATTCTGTTTCTGCTCTTTACATATGATTTTTATTTAACTATTCTGAAACCAAGCGATTCTACTTGGTAAATGCCATACACATATAACAGAAAGCATGCACTGCCTTTCATCTCTTCCTCACTTGATGAGGATTTACTTGTAACTTTAGCTACATGTTTTGGTTCATTCCTTCAAAATAAGTAATTAAAAAAATAGCGTATTATTTTCATTTTATTTTACAACATAAAATAGATACATTAATTATAGTAGAACTACGTTATTTTAATCTTGATTGCTTTTAATAATAGTATTTATAATTTACTTTTCAATGCTTTATAATCTTTCTTGAAACATATAAACATATGCTTGTATTGAAAGTAAAGTCAGAGGAGAAAATAAGCTGTTTTTTTTTCCCTCTCAACGTATGTCTGAGTTTCCTGTTCACTCTAATAATGAGGACTTACGATTAAATGAGTACCTGCTGCTCAATGCATCAAAAATCAAACCTTTTTACACTAGCTTTTGCAAGAAAGAAGGAGGATGAAGCAATGGTATAATGGGTAGAGAGCTTGCCTTGCACATGACTGACCTGGGTTAATTTCCAGCACTGCATATGGTTTCCTCCAAGCCTTCTAGGAGTGATCTCGGAGTGCAGAGGGAGGAGTAAGCCCAGAGCACTGCTGCTACATATAGCCCCCAAATAAACAAAAAATAAATTAGTCAATTAAAAAGTGTCTGTTTCTGGGTCCTGAGTAATACTACAGCAGACAGGCCATTTGCCTTACACACAGCCATCCTGGGTTCAATCTCTGGCATCCCATATAGTCCCCCGAACACTATCAGGAGTAATTCTTGAGTTTACAACTGGGAGTAACTCCTGAGCATAGCTGGGTGTAGCCAAAAAAAAAAAAAAAGAGAAGAACAAAGAGGAGGAGGAGGAGGAGATAGAGAAGGAAGAGGAAGAGGAGGTGGAGGAAGAGGAGGAGGAAAAGACTTTATTGTAGAAGACAATGAAAGCAATAATATCCCAATCTATCTCCCTGGTCCTCTGTTTCAAGGAATATTTACACAGATAGGGTCTTGAATGTCTATCTGTCTATCTGACGATTTTGAAATACAGAAAGCTGACTTAGAGATAAATAAGATGGGGGCCTCGAGGTCAGCAGTGTTTTGGCTTCCTCGATGATGATGCAGCTTTTGTGTAAAGTAAAGTAAAGTAAAGTAAAGGCCCTCCCGTTGATCATCGATTTGCTCGAGCGGGCCCAGTAACGTCTCCATTGGAGACTTTGTTGTTACTGTGTCTGGCATATCGAATACTCTCGGTAGCTTGCCGGGCTCTCCGAGAGGGGCTATTTCCTCTTAAAACATAACTTGTATAGGGGCGGGAGTGACAGTAAAGTGGGTAGTGCACTGATCTTACGTGCGACCAACATGGGTTTGGTCTCCAGTACTCTGTATGGTCCTTTGAGCCCCACAGGAGTGATCCTTGAACACAGAGCCAGGAGTAACCCTGAGCACCTCCAGGTATGGACCAAAAATTCAAAACAAACAAAAACATAACTTGTCCAGATTTTAGATTCTTCTTGACTATTCTGAAGGTGCAAGAAAGCAGGGAAAGGTGGGATGGTAGCCGAGTGAGTTTCTGCCTGTTATTTTTTCCTACAAAACAGTTGTAATATATTCACTGTGTCTGCAAAACAGCTCCTGCCAAGCAGACTGTGAAAGGGTTATTTTTTTTTCTAACCCAATTAATCAGGGTTGGGGAGCCCTGCCTCTGTAGGGCCCTGGTTCCAGACTTAGTTTACCAACTAGATTCTGGGCACACATTTTCATAAATGACATGGGTGAAACCTGTATCACCACAATTTGGTCAAAAATATAATTAAATCACATTAATAAAATGTATCTTATCAAGACCCATTATGATCACAACTGTTGCATAAAATAAATGCTATTTCTGGGGCTGAGGATGTGGCTCAAGTAGTAGAAGCGCATGTCTTACATGTGCAAGGCCTTGGATTTGGTCCCCAGCACACTTGGCCTTCCCTCACCCCAGAACAATTTGGTTTAGCCCTGGCGGCCCCTCAGCACTGCCAGAAGCAACCTTACAAGAAAAGACACTATATCTGTTTTGTTAAAACAGATAT